AATATGCAATACCACTTTGTCCATATTCTCTTCTTTCAACAGTAATAACTCCAATTTCTGGAGGTTTTCTGCGGTGTTTAGGTTAGGTTATGGTTGGTCAGTTACTAGTGCGTAGCAATAAATCACACTGTTAATATTCTAGTATCTGCCTTTGCCTTAACAATACACCTATCAAAAAATATCATCAGATTTACATTGAAAAACATATTTAAGCAAATATACTATAATAGGGACTGAAATACAAAATATTGCATACCTACCTACTAATAAGTTTGACAACTGAACTTAAATAAAATAAAGACATTACCCTGCAATTTATATGTAAGTAATACAAAATATAATAAACGGTAGAAATAAAAATATAAACCTTAATGTAATTTAAAATAAACCATCTTAAAATGACCTTACATAACCCCGTTTACATCATCTGCTTCGAGATCGCATCGCAATTGGCATTGCTGCTTTCTTGCTCACTGTCAGTGTTGTTTTGAAATCCGGTGTTACCATTAGGGTTGTCAGTTTCCTCATTCTCAATTATATCTATTGTATTATCATTTTCATTCTTATTACCTTCATGCCTTTTACAGTCTTAACTTTCACCCCGTACTTTTCCAACGGAGCTTCGTTTTTTTTCTGTATCGGAAGACATTAGTTGAGCACGTCTTTTTGCATTCTTTACCACACTTTTGAAAAACATCTGACAGTCCATTTTCGAAAACTGGGCATCTGCCAAAGCGACAATCCTATAAAACGCCTTCATAACATTTTTCTTATTTTTAAAAGGTGCATTCCCCTCAACAACCCCGCTACCACCTCCACAGGAAAATTTTGTTAGGAATTCTCGGTTAAAGGAGCTATCTATTAAGGTATAGCAACAATTGATGCCATTCATTTTCCCCGAGGTTCCGCATACTGATGGTATTCTCTCCAACTGAAAAATTTAAGTAGTAGATGACATTCTTTCCAACTGAAAAATTTAAGTACTTTATTAGTGCTGTCAAGTGATATTAAAAACATAAATATGCAATACAACTTTGTCCATATTCTCTTCTTTCAACAGTAATAACTCCAATTTCTGGAGGTTTTCTGCAGTGTTTAGGTTAGGTTATGGTTGGTCAGTTACTAGTGCGTAGCAATAAATCACACTGTTAATATTCTAGTATCTGCCTTTGCTTTAACAATACACCTATAAAAAAATATCATCAGATTACCTTTATAAAACATATTTAAGCGAATATACTATAATAGGGACTGAAATACAAAATATTGCATACCTACCTACTAATAAGTTTGACAACTGAACTTAAAATAAAGATATTACCCTGCAATTTATGTATAACTAATACTATAATAATATATAATTAATAATATTAATATAATAAACGGTAGAAATAAAAATATAAACCTTAATGTAATTTAAAATAAACCATTTTAAAATGATCTTACATAACCCCGTTTACATCATCTGCTTCGAGATCGCATCGCAATCGGCATTGCTGCTTTCTTGCTCACTGTCAGTGTTGTTGTTTTGAAATCCGGTGTTACCATTAGGGTTGCCAGTTTCCTCATTTTCATTTATATCTATTGTATTATCATTTTCATTCTTATTACCTTCATGCCTTTTACAGTCTTAACTTTCACCCCGTGGTTTTCTAAGGGAGATTCGTTTTTTTTTTGTATCGGAAGACATTAGTTGAGCACGTCTTTTTGCATTCTTTACCTCACTTTAGAAAAACATCTGACAGTCGATTTCCGAAAACTGGGCATCTGCCAAAGCGACAAGCTTATAAAACGCCTTCATAACATTTTTCTTATTTTTAAAAGGTGCCTTCCCCTCAACAACCCCGCTACCGCCGCCCCAGGAAAATTTTGTTAGGAATTCTTGGTTAAAGAAGCTATCTATTAAGGTATAGCAACAACTGATGCCATTCATTTTCCCCGAGGTTCCGCATACTGATGGTATTCTCTCCAACTGAAAAATTTAAGTACTTTATTAGTGCCGTCACGTGATATTAAAAACGTAAATATGCAATACCACTTTGTCCATATTCTATTCTTTCAACAGTAATAACTCCAATTTCTGGAGGTTTTCTGCGGTGTTTAGGTTAGGTTGGTCAGTTATTAGTGCGTAGCAATAAATCACACTGTTAATATTCTAGTATCCGCCTTTGCTTTAACACTACACCTATCCAAAAATATCATCAGGTTACTATTGAAAAACATTTAAGCGAATATACTATAATAGGGACTGAAATACAAAATATTGCAAACCTACCTACTAATAAGTTTGACAACTGAACTTAAAATAAAGATATTACCCTGCAATTTATATGGAACTAATACAAATTATAATAAACGGTAGAAATAAAAATATAAACCTTAATGTAATTTAAAATAAACCATTTTAAAATGATCTTACATAATCCCGTTTACAACATCTGCTTCGAGATCGCATCGTAATCTGCATTGTTGCTTTCTTGCTCACTGTCAGTGTTGTTTTGAAATCCGGTATTACCATTAGGGTTGTCAGTTTCCTCATTCTCATTTATATCTATTGTATTATCATTTTCATTCTTAAGTACTTTATGAGTGCTGTTAAGTGATATTAAAAACATAAATATGCAATACCACTTTGTCCATATTCTGTTCTTTCAACAGTAATAACTCCAATTTCTGGAGGTTTTCTGCGGTGTTTAGGTTAGATTATGGTTGGTCAGTTACTAATGCGTAGCAATAAATCACACTGTTAATATTCTAATATCTGCTTTTGCTTTAACAATACACCTATCAAAAATATCATCAGATTACTATTGAAAAACATATTTAAGCGAATATACTATAATAGGGACTGAAATACAAAATATTGAATACCTACCTACTAATAAGTTTGACAACTGAACTTAAATAAAATAAAGATATTACCCTGCAATTTATATGTAAGTAATATAAAATATAATAAACGGTAGAAATAAAAATATAAACCTTAATGTAATTTAAAATAAACCATTTTAAAATTATCTTACATAACCCCGTTTACATCATCTGCTTGGAGATCGCATCGCAAGCGGCATTGCTGCTTTCTTGCTCACTGTCAGTGTTGTTGTTTTGAAATCCGGTATTACCATTAGGGATGTCAGTTTCCTCATTCTCATTTATATCTATTGTATTATAATTTTCATTCTTATTACCTTCATGCCTTTTATAGTCTTAACTTTCACCCCGTGCTTTTCCAACGGAGTTTCGTTTTTTTTTCTGTATCGGAAGACATTAGTTGAGCACGTCTTTTTGCATTCTTTACCACACTTTTGAAAAACATCTGACAGTCCATTTCCGAAAACTGGGCATCTGCCAAAGCGACAATCCTATAAAACGTCTTCATAACATTTTTCTTCTGTTAATATTCTAGTATCTGCCTTTGCTTTAACAATACACCTATAAAAAAATATCAGATTACTATTGAAAAACATATTTAAGCGAATATACTATAATAGGGACTGAAATACAAAATATTGCATACCTACGTACTAATAAGTTTGATAACTGAACTTAAATAAAATAAAGATATTACCCCGCAATTTATATGTAAGTAATACAAAATATAATAAACGGTAGAAATAAAAAAAATAAACCTTAATGTAATTTAAAATAAACCATTTTAAAATTATCTTGTATAACCCCGTTTACATCATCTCATTTATATCTATTGTATTATCATTTTCATTCTTATTACCTTCATGCCTCTTACAGTCTTAACTATCACTCCGTACTTTTCCAACGGAGTTTCGTTTTTTTTTCTGTATCGGAAGACATTAGTTGAGCACGTCTTTTTGCATTCTTTACCACACTTTTGAAAAACATCTGACAGTCCATTTCCGAAAACTGGGCATCTGCCAAAGCGACAATCCTATAAAACGCCTTCATAACATTTTTGTTATTTTTAAAAGCCTTCCCCTCAACAACCCTGCTACCATCACCACAGGAAAATTTTGTTAGAAATTCTCGGTTAAAGAAGCTATCTATTCAGGTATAGCAACAACTGATGCCATTCATTTTCCCCGAGGTTCCGCATACTGATGGTATTCTCTCCAACTGAAAAATTTAAGTACTTTATTAGTGCCGTCACGTGATATTAAAAACGTAAATATGCAATACCACTTTGTCCATATTCTCTTCTTTCAACAGTAATAACTTCAATTTCTGGAGGTTTTCTGCGCTGTTTAGGTTAGGTTATGGTTGGTCAGTTACTAGTGCGTAGCTATAAATCACACTGTTAATATTCTAGTATCTGCCTTTGCTTTAACAATACACCTATCAAAAATATCATCAGATTACTATTGAACAACATATTTAAGCGAATATACTATAATAGGGACTGAAATACAAAATATTGCATATCTACCTACTAATAAGTTTGATAACTGAACTTAAATAAAATAAAGAGATATTACCCTGCAATTTTGTAAGTAATACAAAATATAATAAACGGTAGAGACTAAAAAAATAAACCTTAATGTAATTTAAAATAAACCGTTTTAAATGATCTTACATAACCCCGTTTACGTCAACTGCTTCGAGATCGCATCGCAATCGGCATTGCTGCTTTCTTGCTCACTGTCAGCGTTGTTGTTTTGAAATCCGGCATTACCATCAGGGTTGTCAGTTTCCTCATTCTCATTTATATCCAGTGCCGGATTTACCAAATTTCCCCCTTACGTCACTTAAAAAATGCCGCCCTTATATTCGCTATAACAACAAAAATGTTATATTGAAAATTTATGTTTTTAAGTAAACAACAAATGAATTCATAGAAATAAAAAAATTAAAATAATTTACGCCGAGATTTAATGGCAGCAAACGAATCAATAATTTTGTCAAAATTTATATATATATATATATATATATATATATATATATATATATATATATATATATATATATATATATATATATATATATATATAATCGAAGGCCTTCTACCCGAAGGTGTAGGCTTCTAGTAGCTACTTTCCATAAATAAAATTTTGCCACTTCTTCTTGTCCAGGGCCATGCTTGCTGCTTCGGCGCAGCCGATCCCTCTAGTTTTATGTAATTTTGCAACATTTTGATCCCAAGTAGTTGCAGGTCTACCCTTTTTCCTTTTTTCTTGCCTTTTTGCCTCCCATACTCTTCTTACTGGTCTCTCTTTGTTGAGTCTTTTCAAATGTCCGTACCACCTCAACTGGCAGTTTTCGATAGTTGTTAGTACTGGCTGGAGTTTCAGCTGCTCTCTAATATGGGAATTACGTAGTTTATTCATCCTCGTAACCCCTAGCACTTTTCGTAGGTATTTCATTTCTACTGCTTGTGTTAAGCTTTCTTGTCTCTTGGTGAGAACCCAACTCTCACTACCGAATGTTAATATTGGTACGAATACTGAATTAAACACGCTGATTTTGGTCTTCAATGATACCTCTTTTTTACCTAGAAATGTGTTCTTTATGCTATGGTATAGATTTGCAGCGCTTTGGACTCTTGCAGTTATCTCTTGGTTTTGATGTCCATGGCTTTCTATTTGGACTCCCAGATATTTGAAAGAATTTACCTGCTCTATTATTTGATCATTTATTTCTATGTTAACCATTTCTTCACTCTTTCCGTTAATCATTATTTTTGTTTTGTTCTCATTTATTTTAAGGTTTTTGGAAGATAATTTGTTGTTCCATGTATTGAGATTTCTTTTAAGTTCTGTTTCGTTCCTAGCAAATATAACGATGTCGTCAGCGAAAGCGCATTCATTGATCCACACAGGCTGCATATTTTAGTACCCTACAAGAAGTTTAGATGTCTCTCGTCTGGTTTCTTTCATTACATCATCCATAACTAAATTGAATAAAATTGGGCTTAGGACACCTCCCTGTCGAACACCTTCACGAATTGAAAACTCTTCTGAATGCATATTATCGGTCCTTACATAGCTTCTAGTGTCGGAATAAAAACTCATTATTGCTCTTCATAAGTTTTGGTCAATGTTTTTATTTATTAGGGTTTTCTGAACTTCAGATCTTGGAAGTCTGTCAAAGGCTTCTTCAAGATCAAGAAAGGCTTGGTAAACTTGGACATTTGTATTTCTAATTTTTTCCGTTATTTGTTTAATTGTAAATATATGATCGTGTATACTACGGCCCTTCCTAAATCCACTCTGCGATTCCTCAAGTTGGTTGTCAATTTGATTTACGAGTTTTGCTTCCAGTATTCGCTCATAAACTTTAGAGGCAATGCTAAGAAGTGTGATTCCTCGATAATTATTACAATCCCTTTTATTACCCTTTTTAAAAATTGGTACGATGACCCCTATTTTCCAATCATCTGGGATTTTTCCTTCGTTCCACGCTAAAGTACAAATCTTTGTTAGTATTTCTTCTCCCTTTTCTCCCATGTTTTTCAGCATTTCTGCGGTGATGCCGTCATGTCCCGCCGCCTTTCCTTTTTTAAGTTTCTGTATGGTGCAATGGACGTCCTCTAATTCTATCATATCTTCCTCTTGAGATGTGGCCCTACTTTCCACGACTAAATTTTCCTGATCACTCTGCCCTTCAAAAAGATCCTCAAAATATTGTTTCCATCTCTTAATAATGTCTTCTTCATTCATTAGTAATATTCCATTCTTATCGTTTATTTGTTTCATCGGTGGGTCTTTGTTATTGCATCGAAGATTTTAAGGACTTTGTAAAATAGCTTTTTATTTGCGTGGAAATCGTGTTCAATTTTTCGACCGAATTCTTCCAATGACTTTTTCTTTGATAACATTACAAGTTGCTTCACTCTTTCTCTATGTTTCTTATATACTTCATATTTATCCATGTTTCTGCCACATAAATAGTTTTTCCATGCCGCTTTTTTCATTTTAATTTCATGTTTGATATCGTCATTCCACCAAGCGGTTTGTCTTTTGTTTTTGTTAATTTTCGTTGTTCCACAGATTTCTTTCCCTGCTTTTAATAGTATAAATTTAAAATTTTCCCACATTATTTCTAGATCTTGTTCCTCATTGGCTGGTTGAGTTTCAATTAGCTCTTGTATTCTTCTCCTGTAACTCATGGCAGTATTCCTGTTGTTCAATCTATACGACCTGACTACTTCTCTTGTTACGCTGCTCCGTCGTCTCTCTATTTGATCTGGTTTTTGAAAGCCTAGTTTGGTTTTTGCTAAGACCAGGTAGTGATCGCTGTTTATTTCGGGGCCTCTTTTAACTCGTACGTCTTTTATATATCGCCTTAATCGTTTACATACTAATACGTAGTCAATTATGGATTTTTCATTTCGATTTTTAACTTCTCTCGTGTACTGATGGATTTCTTTGTGTCTGAAAAAGGTGTTCATGATTAATAAATCATTCTGTATACAGAACTCTATAATTCTAGTCCCGTTGTTATTTCTTATAGCCTCTCCATTTTTTCCTATGACATCGCCGCTTTCATAATCCTGAATACCAACCCTTCCATTTAGATCCCCCAGAACAATGATATCTCCATTTAAACTGTCTACAACTTCCGTAACTTCATCCCAAAACTTGTCTTTTACTTCAGCTTTTTCATCTTCATTTGGGCCATAGAGTATTAATATGTGTATCGTGTTCTTGTCTTCAAGCCTCAATTGTACCATAATGATTCTTTCTGATATAGTATCCCATTTAGTTACAAATTTAGCTAAGGTACTTTTTATAATACAACCAACTCCGGCCTGTGCCCTTTTCTCATTCTGGACCCCACTCAAAATCATTATATGTCCATTTTGTAATTCAACTGTTTGTTTTCCTTTCTTTTTAGTTTCAGTTATAGCTAGTATGTCTAGGTCAATGTTTTCAAATTCTTTAATTAGTTCGCCCTCTTTGTCATTTATCGACCGAATGTTCCATGTACCAAATGTTAGCCCTTTTCCATTTAAGTTTCCTTTCAATGTCCGTTTAATGCCAAGTTCCATGTCCGATAATCCTGCTCCGTGTAATCCATTGGTTAGTTCTAGTTTTTGAAGTTCGCGTAATCTTTTTCAGTTGTTCGCCAAATTTATCATTTTCCGGTGATCTCATATCGGGTTTTCTCTTCTTGTCGGCGTTATTATATTGGCTAGTTGACTTCTATTTATTATGTTGCTTGCATCATATACCTCATCGTTTATAATTAGTTTGTTGTATCTAAGTTGTGCTTTTTCGCCATTTTTCCATGCTTCTTTCATTTCGGACACCAGAATTTTTCTTTCTTCTTGTATTTCCTTTGGGTAATCCTCATCAATCCATATGTTAGATCCTCTTAATCCTTTAGTTTTTCCTAGTATTTCGAATTTCTTATTTGTAGTTGTGAGTTGTAGTAATATTGGTCTCGGTTTACCTGGGATTTGTTTGCCTATTCTTCTTACCTGGTCTACATCAAATTCTGGTTTAATAGGCACTCCCAAGGATTCACAAATTTTAATTGTCTTGTGTTTGGTTAGTTCGAAGTCCTCTGTTTCATCTTCCATAATACCTTTAAAAATCAGATTTTTCTTTCTAATCTCCCTTTCCAAATTGGCAATCTTCATTCCTTGCGCTTTAATTTCTGTCTTCATCGCCGCATTTTCTAGCTTAGTATCTCTCAGCTCCTTTATAACATCGGATAGTTTACCATCCATTACTTGCATATTTTCTCTAATAAAATCGAACATTTCTTTTATTTCGTTCATATCGGATTGTTTTTGTTTTTGCTCCATATTATTTTCCTTTTAATTATAGGGATTGCGAAAAGAACAGACTCTCCTCAACGGATCGGAAGTCCCTTGCTCTTATCAATCCCCAAATATCCTGTTCTCAGCACAAGCTGGCAACAGCACAAACAATTTTAACGAGAAGCTGCTAAATACCTCAATTCTCTTATCAGTTAGATTTAGATTCCTGAAATTTCTTTATACGTTTTTGCTACTATTTATATTTAATTCTAGATTTTTTACCTCAGCATCGAATTGTAAACATGTAATTTCACTATACAAATAAAAAGTTCAAATTATTTTTCACTACAACTCGCGATATACGGGAAAATTGCAGATCAAGAATAATTTAAGATATTTCACAAACAATGCCACGTTGCCACTCAAAATTTATACTTGTAGTTAAATCTGATTCTATCGTTAATGTTGTTAAGGCATTTAAACTATCTTGTTCCATAGTGGCCCTTAAATAGGATTTTAATCGTTTAAGTGTGGAAAATGACGTAAAATAAATATGATATAGTTTGACCACACCAAAAATATTTATTTAATTAAAGTTCGGATTAGCATTCGATAATCTTTTTAAATAATTCTGCTGGCCTTCGTTGCAGTTTTTTATTATTTTTTGACAACTTGCCGCAATTTATCGTAATTTTTTCTGAAAATTTTCCGCCCCTAAAATTTTGCCGCTTTACTCCTGGGCGTATTGTGCGTAATGGGAAATACAACACTGTTTATATCTATTGTATTATCATTTTCATTCTTATTACCTTCATGCCTTTTACAGTCCTAACTTTCATCCCGTACTTTTCCAACGGAGTTTCGTTTTTTTTTTCTGTATAGGAAGACATCAGTTGAGCATGTCTTTTTGCATTTTTTACCACACCTTTGAAAAATATCTGACACTCCATTTCCGAATACTGGGCATCTGCTAAAGCGACAATCCTATAAAACGCCTTCATAACATTTTTGTTATTTTTAAAAGGTGCCTTCCCCTCAACAACTCCGCTACCACCGCCCCAGAAAAATTTTGTTAGGAATTCTCGGTTAAAGAAGCTATCTATTAAGGTATAGCAACAATTGATGCCATTCATTTTCCCCGAGGTTCTGCATACTGATGGTATTCTCTCCAACTGAAAAATTTAAGTACTTTATTAGTGCTGTCAAGTGATATTAAAATCATAAATATGCAATACCACTTTGTCCATATTCTCTTCTTTCAACACTAATAACTCCAATTTCTGGAGGTTTTCTGCGGTGTTTAGGTTAGGTTATGGTTGGTCAGTTACTAGTGCCTAGCAATAAATCACACTGTTAATATTCTAGTATCTGCCTTTGCTCTAACAATACACCTATCAAAAATATAATCAGATTACCATTGAAAAACATATTTAAGCGAATATACTATAATAGGGACTGAAATACAAAATATTGCATACCTACCTACTAATAAGTCTGATAACTGAACTTAAATAAAATAAAGATATTACCCTGCATAAAAAAAATAAACCTTAATGTAATTTAAAATAAACCATTTTAAAATTATCTTACATAACCAAAAAAAATTTATTTATAATTAAAAAATATTAGACAAGGACAGTAATTGATGTGGATGAAGTTAGGGTTTTAAAATGAATTAATATTTAAGAAAAATAAGTAATCAACATTTAAATGTAAGGATAAAAATAGTATCACTTGCTTTGTTGATCAAAATCATTGACATTATTAATATAAAATTACGCAAAATAAAGTTAAAATAAGTACTCAAACTAACGCAGTTCATGAACCTTGTTGTATGCGCACATAATTCCGTCAATCAATCAAAAGTTAATTAAATAAATATGTCAAGTGACACCATCACAAAATACTTGACAAGATATTAAAATATAAAAATTTGTATATATTTAAAATTAAGAAAAATTATATTTAATAACGAAATTCAAAATTGATATCTAATAATTACATAATTAATTACGTAATTCGTCAACAGTAAGTAAATAGATTTGAAATGAGTTATTAAAAAAATGTGAAATCTGGCCTGATTATCCGGTGCAATTCCAGGCTTTTGCTCGTCCTTCTGGATGGTGTGTGGACGTTAGGTGTTGGAGCTCATCCCCAATCTACCACAGCCCCGAACAGCCCCTTACAATACCACCAACCATGTGGAAATCAAACATGGATCATAGATACAGGCTCTCGTACCACAAACCACCAATCACGACATATAACTCGCCATATAACTAGACGGTAAAACCCTGGAAACGACACAACTTATGCACAAAATGCATTTTAGAAATTTTGTGAACTTACCTCACAATGCTGAGGGTTTACTCAAAAATTAAATTCATGACAGGACAACCAAAACCACGTTTAGAAAATCTGTAAAGAGATAAGGTTGAACCAAAGGAGTAAAAATGTGATGAAGATCAAACTTACCACAAAAATACCTATGAAAACTAAAAATTGATTCCTTCCCCAAATGCCAGGAACCACTAGAACTACATTCCAAAAGTTAATAGAATTAAAAGGTTTAAACTTTTTCGGATGACTTCTGATAAGTATGTCGATGTTTACGCCACGAAATCTGAATCAAAAATGGTGACTTCCGATGGTCAAAAAGATGCTCTAGTTCTGCGCCGACAAGGGCAAGTACGATCCACAGAGTGTCCGAAATTAGTCAGAACTAATTCGGTAGGGTGTATGTTGGGTTGCCAATAGTATCGTTTTATTAAAACGTTACAAGGGACTGAAATACAAAATATTGCATACCTACCTACTAATAAGTCTGATATTTTTATAAATATATTTACTTAAATAAAATAAAGATATTACCCTGCATAAAAAAAATAAACCTTAATGTAATTTAAAATAAACCATTTTAAAATTATCTTACATAACCCCGTTTACATAATCTACTTCGAGATTGCTCACTGTCAGTGTTGTTTTGAAATCTGGTATTACCATCAGGGTTGTCAGTTTCCTCATTCTCATTTATATCTATTGTATTATCATTTTCATTCTTATTACCTTCATGCCTTTTACAATCCTAACTTTCACCCCGTACTTTTCCAACTTCCAAGACATTAGTTGAGCACGTCTTTTTGCATTCTGTACCATACTTTTGAAAAACATCTGACAGTCCATTTCCGAAAACTGGGCATCTGCCAAAGCGACAATCCTATAAAACGCCGTCATAACATTTTTGTTATTTTTAAAAGCTGCCTTCCCATCAACAACCCTGCTTGCATAAATTTTGTTAGGAATTCTCGGTTAAAGGAGCTATCTATTAAGGTAGGGGAGACCGGGGCTAGTTGTCACAATTTTCAAAAAATATTTTTTTTAAATAAGTGGGAAAGATTTTGATAACAATTTATTCGTCAGCAACTTATTTCACGCTTTCGGACTGTCATGATAATTTTATAGCACTCTAAAAAGATACAAAATGCATTTTTTTAATTTTTAAAAAAAATGTGAAAACTGAGACGACTTGCCCCGATGCCTTTCTTCTAATTGATCTTTTACGGGGGTATCAGTTAGAATCGCACTTTTTCGCTTACGTCTGCTTACTCGATTTGTTTTCTTTGCCGATGCTTTTAGATAGGGTCTTTCCCTCCGGAGTAACTATTTTCTGCTTTTTTGCTAAACCACTGCAGCATGGTTGATTAGGATCAGTTGGTTCTTGCTCGTCTATTACAGAAACAGGATCTGTAAGTCTGGTTTCCGAAACTGTTTTGATATCTTTTTTTTTTGTTTGATTTCTTTTTTCAAGGTCTGGCAAAACACCTTCGGAAGATACCATGGCCCAAATATAAAAGCTTTTTTTTTCAAAAAAACATTTGTTAGGATTCAATTTTAGATTAACTTCTCTTAATCGCTGCAAAACTTTAACTAAATTTTTGTTATGTTTACTAATTTTTTTTCCAAAAACGATTAGGTCATCCATATAGATAAAACAGCTTTCATAATTAAGACCTGACATAGCAATTGTTATTGCTCTAGAAAAAACATTGGGACTGATTTTTAATCAATTGGGAGCCTTGTCATTTGATATTGCCCCTTACTACCTACGGTAAATGCAGTATATGGTCTACTTGACTTATCTAACTCTATCTGATAATAACTTTGTGACAAATCTAAATGTGAAAAATAGGTAGCACCGGATGAAGAATCTAAAATATCTGTTATAGATGGTAAAGGCCACTTTTCATCATGTAATTGCGTATTGCAACCTCTATAATCTATAA